TATGGCAAGCGGTCCGATGGTGAGCATACTATAAATACATGCTTTTTTTTCTTGAGCATACTATAAATACATGCTTTTTTTTCATAAGAATAAATACATGCTTAAGGTCTCAAGTTTGAATCTTAGCAAAAGTTTACTAAAATTTATTCCACAGACCTGTTTGGCAAATGAGTTTTTTGAGTGTTTGTCTAAATTTTATTGTAACCTATTGTAAAAGTTGTAGGAAAATTTTTTAAATGTAAAACTTTTTTTTCTATTTCTTTTTCTTTTCCTTCCTCTCCTCTTCTTCTCTCTCACCTCACCAGTCATCACCCCCCGCCATTGAAACCTCCACTAGCGACCAACACCGACAGAAGTGGGATATTTTTTTTTTTTTTTGCTTTTTTTTTTTCTTTCTCTCCTCCCTCTCCCCTCGCTCTCCTTCTTCCTCCTCCCCTCCCCTTGCTTCTCCCCTGCCACCTCTCTTCCCCTCTCCCTCCCCAACCACCCTCCCCTTCTTCCTTCCCAGTCGCGTGACTAGATTGGGGGAGGGGGAGGCGAGGATGGTGGGGAAAAGAGGGGAGGGGAGGGGAGCGGCAGGGTGGCAGGGAAGGGAGGAGGAGAGGGAGAAGAGAAAGAAAAAAAAAATTTTGCCGGCGGCAAAAAAAGTGGTCAGCATCGGCAGAGTTGGGGGGGGGCTAGTGGTGGGCGGCGGCAAAGGTAGTGGTGGGTTGAGGTGGGGGAGGAAGAAGAAGAAAGGAGGAAGGGAAATTATTTTTGTGTGTTTTGAGTATTTTAAGGTGTGTAGTTTAAAATTTTTGAAAAATTTTTTAAGGTTACTGTAAATAAAATTATTAAAAAACTTACCCTGGTAAGAGACAAACTTAACAAAAAACTCATTTGCCAAATCAGCCCAGTTAGTAGACAAAACCGATGGGATTTTCGGTTTTAACCTGATTGAACCATTGAATCATTGATCGGTTAACAGGTTCTATATTTAAACGATCTAATTAGAAATTTAGCTCAATCTAATGGTCGGTTCACCAGATTGATCAGATTGATTGCTAGGTCGTTGTTGGATTTAATAACTATGGTACCACACTTAAAAGCAATCCAAAAGAAAAAAAAAAAGGAAAAACCCAAAAATCCCAAAGGGAAAAGCAACAAAAGAAGGGGGAAAAAAAGAGGAGAAAGATAGATCAAATCAAGAAGAAAAGGCGACGAGGAAAAGAGGGCCCCACAGCGATCACCAGAACTGATCACGCCACCACTCAGTTGATCTTCTGGGGCGGAATAATTTTGTACGTTTCATCTTACATAATTTCTACATCTAATCTGAAAGCTCTCAAGAATTTATGTGCAATTTATAAATGTGCTGAAATTTGTTTACGATTTTGTTCTTAACTGCTCCATTGAAGTTGGAAAGGCTGCAACTCGGTTTTAAGTTTTGGGGCATATGCCCATAACCTGTTTGTTAAAATGCCTCAACTGAATATGGGAAATGGAGATCCATTTTGGTGGATCCCAACTTTGCTAATATATTGAGTTGCCATCAAGCTTTAGGGGAGTCAGCTTTGGATAATCCCTGGGCTATTGCTGTTAAAAAACCCATTCTGATAGGTTGATTATAGCCGATGCCAGAAAGAGAAATGCAAGATATAAGGGTAATACCTCTGCGAGTCTGCATTAAACACTTTTGAATGGAAAAACATATGTACTTAAGTTTAATGGTCTGAGTATTGTTAGATAAGTCTCCTGAACAATAAACGCCTTCTGCTCAATCTCTTTGAAGGTAGTTATGCATGATTATTTCTCTGCATTAAGATGTTATTTGTCCTTCTGAATCTTCAATCCATTCTTCAGTCTAGTTGTTGTTTTCTCACCTGTTTTGCTTTGAACTTCGTGGTGATTGATCTAATCCCTTTTTTTTATTCATGTCCCGTCGAATAAGCAGTTTTAGTTAACTGAGATATGCATATCCATAGAACCTCACATCTATTTTGGTTATTTCATGAACTTAAGGACTGATTTCTGTCAACTTTTGACTTTTTGATTCTCAACCTTTTACCTCTTTCATTTTCTATCTTGTTCTGAAGCTCGGTAGCCTAGTTAATCACATAAATATATTCAAGACAAATATTGCATGACTAATCCAAACAAAGGAACTAAATTGGGGAAGATGCATAACTTGCAAATACTGTAAAACCAAATTACATTTTCCTTTAACTTCTCTGAACCTTGTGTGAGTCGCTTTGTTTCCCTTTTTTCAGCGAATATAATCTTCTTCAGATCTCTGAGTCTATTGACGCCATCTTTTCTTGCATGTGCTTTGAATTACTTAATTGTATATTAGCTCGACTGATGAAATTACTTATTGAGATTAAGGAAACAATAGATGCTTATTCAAGTTTGATTTAGTTCGACATGCTCAGTATCTTGATTTTTACTTTTGTATCATAAGCAACAAATGTGACAGTTGTGTATGTTTTTACCTTTCTATCTTTTACCCAAAATTTGACCTATTCTAGGGCCATTATGTGAGTGTGTGCCCATACGTGAGAAAGAGGAGGCTGTGGTCCAATGTTGGCGAACTTGAGCAGAGAAGAAACAGAGGCATAGCAATTAAATTCGTTTTATAGGAAGACAAATTTCAAAATTGCAGTCAATTCCTTCAACTTTCCCTTTCTTGTTAATTTCGACCCCTAGTTTCTGAAACTTTATTAGTTGAAGTTGGAACTTTAATTTAAATGTTTCCATATGATCCCTTGTTTAGAGAATTCAAAGTTAGGTTTATTTGCTTTCTCAATTACTCAAATTAAGTTTTAATTAGTTTGACTTTAATTTAGGAATTAATTTAAACTTGATATGTGACCTAGGATTATGTATTAAGTTTATTTCTCTTTCTTTGTTTACTGTTTTGTTTATTTTGTGGAATATGATTGTGGGTGTTGAGAGTGCGCCATTTCACAGCTTTTCCAGCGGAAGCTTGTACTTAGGTACTTTGACTTTTTTGTTTATGTATTTGTTAGGAATGTTTAAGTGCTATATTTTCCATTATGTTTATCATATGCATGTTACTTTCATAGCTTAAGTTATCTCATTTTTGGCCATAAAACTGGAAAAGCAACACCTAGACTAGCAGTTGTTTGCAGCGAGTGTGGGAGGTTCTCAAGGCTGACACCTTGATCTTCCTCACCATTGAGCTCATAAACTCATTTTGTCTTGTTTCCAAAGGACCAGGTAAAAGGATCTAGTTTTATCAATTCAGAATAAAAAATTTATTTTCTACAAATTGTTTAGGTGACTTTGTACTCTGAGAATTTAATATCGAGTTGCCACTCCTAGTTTTTGGTAACCCTTGCCTAGATTATTGGTGAGCCTATTCACCATCCCATTTGCCAAGTCTTTTTTTAGGCTATTTCTTTTTTCTCTTTTATTTATTTAAAAATAAAATTTCCTGAAAAAAAAAATCTTTATTTTGGTTTCGTTTTGTTGCTCTACATTTGTACTTTTGCTAATATAGTAGCTTCATATAGTCCTCTATGTACATTAAAATGCTTGTCTTGTTTTGTCTCCATTTTGTATCTGCATGGATAGAGTTTACTGCTTATGTGGTGAAACTTAGTGTTCTTGTAGCTGCATGTAGCCCTTTCTGTAAGTCCAATATGTTCACTCTGTTTTAGCTCTAATTTAGTAGGTGTATGTGTATAGCCTGCTGTGTATGAGATGAAAGTTTGGATTGTGGTAAAGGTTTTGAAATTTCATGTTAAGTTTTTGTACGTGTATTATTTTTTGCATTAGGCAACCACCGTTTGTTTTTTTTTTTTTTTTTATGTTCTTTTGGTTAGTCAATTGTGATCCTGATTATTCTGATTGATATTCGTAATTGCACTTCTCTCTCTGTTACATAATGGATGGAGGGTAACAAAATTCATGGATTGCCATCATTTAAGCTAATTAAACTTAATTACTCCTATGAGAAGAAAAGACCAAGAAAAAATAAAACAACATTAAATAATTAAAGGTGGTGTGAGCAGGACATCATCCTGTATTATCTGTACAATTGGGTTATGTGGTTTGTCATAGTGTAGATGGTAGGTCTAAACCTTTTAAGTGGTAGATGTGGCAGTTGACTTTTCAAGTGTCTCTTTGATGCTATCAAACCTATGGGGATGAGCATGAACATGGTTTTAATGCTTTTCACTGCTTTTTGTCTGAGACTTTGACGCAGCACGACACTAAGTAGGCACAACAGCTTGTAGAACATCTTAGATATGGAATTTCACCCGAACTTATAATAGTAGTTTGGAATAGGATTAGAGAATATGCTTAAGAAGGTGAAACTGATTGGTAATTCTAGGAATCACTCCTAGGAATCTTTAGGCCTCACACCTAAAGTTGGGATGTATCACACAGCCCTAAGGAAGACGTTAAGGCTGCAGGAGAATTTTATTAGTGACCAAAAAACTGACTTCTCTTTGTCGAAAGTAGTGGTTATTTATAAACCTTAGAACAAAGCTTATTCCAATCCTAATTAGGACTCCTAAATAGAATAGAATTATAGTAGAAAGCTAGAAAGCTAAGCTTTCTTATTCCCTATAACAACTAAAATACTAATTACCAAAAATAACAACTAAACAGAAAATTACCATAAACATAAAATTCCTGCAGCTAATTCAAATTACTCAAATACCCCTGCCGGCGAAAATCAGAAAATAAACTCCATAGAATTCAAACCAACTCCCAAGTTGTTTCCTTGTCATCAAAAGCATGCCAAATCAATGCTTGGGCATTCGACACATCCTTCCCACATCTCCTATAAACCTTAGTGGATTTTTGCCACCAATCTCTATCAGACTTATGCTTGTTCTATGACATGTTTAGCCTGCTAAACTTAGATATCATCTTTATGTAGCGAAGTTGTAGTCTATCATCAGAAGCCCGGAGCTAGCTTGGTCTTTTGATTAGCAGTTTCTGAGGTTTAAACTTCAAAGTCCAAAGAATTTCTCTGCAATCTTCAAAGCAAAAGAAATAAGAGAAAGATGAATGATAAACAGCGATCTATTCTCCTCGACATCTCATCTCGCTTCTCACCTCCACAAGGTGTGAAGCTATCATACGGAACATCGGGGTTCAGAGCCGACGCATCATTGCTAGAATCAACGGTGTACAGAGTTGGATTATTGGCAGCGCTGAGGTCACTCAAAACCAGGGCAGTCATTGGACTTATGATCACCGCATCACACAATAAAATTTCTGATAATGGAATCAAAGTAGCAGACCCCAGTGGTGGAATGTTGACTCAGGATTGGGAACCATTTGCTGAGGCACTTGCCAATGCACCTGATATCTATACCCTGGTTGAGGTGATGTCTCATTTGAGCTGGTTATTCTCTTTATTTATGCCCTTCCTTAATTCTTAGGAGAATTGGGGGAAACGTCATGTTTTGCTGCCTATCTAATGAATAAGAAAGAAGTGACTGTTCATTTATTTACTAAATTCAGTAAATGCATGCGAAAAGGTGTAAAATGTAGCACTAACAAGCTAGGGTTCATTTTGTCAAATTCGTTAATATATGCCTCTAGAATATGTAGTTCAAAAGTTGTAATTGATTGGCAATCCACCATGTTCTCTTCACTTTTTTTTTTGGTAATTTCTTTCTGCTATCCATCTTGGACCTGATTTTGGCAAAATTCGTTGATTTAATTCCTTTCTCAATCTAGTTTGTATGGAGAGTATAGGTACTTTTTGGATTTCGATTAGACCTTAGGTTTGGGTAGGGAAAGAATCTGTGATCTGTAATGGTGCTTATTATGGTGTGTTTGTAGCTGGTATAAGAGATTTAGACTAACAGCAGTGTTGATCACACATCTTAAATCAACATACGCTACTAGTTTAAAACTTATTCTGCACCTAGTTTCCATGCGCTATTATATTTATATGTGAGTTAGGTGTCATGTCAGGTTTTTTTGTTTCAGTCATAATTTTACTTATTATCAGGTACAAAAGATGAGCATTTACATTTTCTTTGAAACAGATTTTAGATGATTTTGTTAAGAAGGAAAAAATTGCACTTGATGGAGAATGGGCAGCAGAGGTTTTCTTGGGAAGAGATACAAGGCCTAGTGGAGTGTCTCTCCTTGAAGCTGCAAAACAAGTACTGACTCCCCTTTAACATAATGAAATTATTTTCAGCATTTACAAGTTCATAGGCATATAAAATATAAGTTGCCTGTAAATGTGTTAAACTTTGGTGATTGCAGATAAGCATACCTTACTTCGGCATTTAACTCTTTTTGTCTTAGTAATTGTTGGATGATTACTTCAAAGGACTGACATTAATATCAGGGGGTTGCTTCTATTGTCAAAGCCAATGCCAAGGACATGGGAGTTCTAACGACACCACAACTGCATTGGATGGTTCGTGCTAGAAACAAGGGCCTGGAAGCATCTGAGCATAATTACTTTGACCAGCTCTCAAGCTCTTTCAGGTTATTTCTGTGTGTATAACTTTCTTATGTTGTCTTTTGTCTGTTGCTTCAATCTAAAATACTTCTCTCTGAAATACTTTTACTTTTTATATTTCTGAAGATGTTCATCTTCCGCATCTGTCTAGGTGCTTGCTGGAATTGATCCCTCAAGGCAGTAGAATCGTTGGTACTAATGACAAACTGATTGTGGATGGAGCGGATGGTATTGGTGGAGAAAAACTTGAAAGTCTGAAAGGGCTGTTAAATGGCTTGTGTGTAGAAGTTCGTAATTCTGGTAATGGTGTACTTAATGAAGGTGTTGGTGCTGACTATGTGCAGAAAGAGAAGGTCGTGCCTCGTGGATTTGGTCCTGCTGATGTTGGAATCAGGTGAGCAGTCATAGTTTTTCATTTTGAGTAGAAGAATCTCTCTAGCACCTGCTGTTGAATGAGTCTCCATATTTGCATATAGGACTAATAGCATTTGCCTTAATTGAGGATGAATTGTAGTCTTCCAGTTCGATTGGAAAATGAAACGCAATCTTGTTTGTCATGGTCATTCATGCTAGTTCCAAGAATAGTGCCCCTAGAACTGGTTCTTTGTGACCATGTGACATTGAGATCGCTTGTACTCTTCCATACCTTGTAGGCCCTGCTAGGAAATTTAGATCTTGTCTTGTTGCCATACTTAGACATGAGATGGTTTTTGGCGGATCTAAATAATTTCTGAAGTTGATTTTGTCAATCGCTACCATAGTTCCCCAAAGTTTTGGGATTGTTTATGTGGTTTCTGCCTGCAGCAGTTATAGAAAAACAGTACCTATGAGCAGCATTTTTCGACTTACAATTATTCTTTTTGGTTTTAAGTTTTTTAAGTACATGATATGGAAAGTTCTTCAAAGCTTGAATTAACTCTTCTCCGTTATTACGTTATAATCCATCTAGTATGGTATTCAAGGACTTTTCTGTTTGCTGATGGTGGATGGGATGTGGGAACTGAAACTTAAATGTTACTAGTGTTCCAGGTGCGCTAGTTTCGATGGAGATGCTGATCGGCTTGTGTATTTCTTAGTTCAACCAAATAGTAACAAAATTGAACTTGTTGACGGTGACAAGATAATGGCTTTATTTGCTTTATTCCTTGAAGAACAATTAAGTATTCTGAACAAGAGTGGAGATGTTACAGTTAGGCCAAATCAAACACGTCTCAAGATTGTGCAGACAGCTTATGCAAATGGCGCATCCACTAGTTACCTAAAGCAATTGGGCCTAGAAGTTGTGTTCACTCCTACTGGTGTCAAACACTTGCATGAGAAAGCTGCTGAATAAGCAAATCTAAAGTATGATCACCATTTAAATGCTGCATATTTGCTGAAGAATGTGTTTTTTGTTATTCTAAGGTAGATACATACAGATATGTGTGAAAATTTATTTCACAATTTTCCTTTCTGGTATGTAGGTAAAGGTGCTTGACAGAGCAGCAGTTGTCACGGCGAATGCGGAAACTGTAGTTGTCAAACCCAGTGGAATTCAAGAAGCCATTAATGCTGAAATTGGTAAACTTGAAGAACCTCTCTCTCTCAAAAAGTGTTTTTCCTTATCCAGTTTTCATGTATTAAGTTCATTCTACCTGAGATGATTCTTCCTGCACCCATGAGGCTCCAGCAGTAGACTTGTGAACTATTGGACTCCTTTTTGGGGCAGGGGACAAAATTTCGTTCTGTTTCATCTTGTGACAAAACTGGGCCATCATGACCTGATGCTTGAGACTCTGCACTTGCATTTGGTGCTTAGTTTTTCTGTGATTGCAACTGATTTCTGGTGTCTAGATAATTTGAAAGTTAATCATTTTGATCTTTTCTTTTCTACAGCCAAATACCACAAAGGAAGATGTTTCATACGGCCTTCTGGAACAGAAGATGTGGTTAGAGTATATGCTGAAGCAAGCACCCAAGAAGCAGCAGATGGTCTAGCTTATTCAGTGGCGAAATTGGCGGATCAGTTCCTTGGGTCTACCAATTCTTAGTCAATTCTGGATTGTGCCTTTTTCACTAAATCCATTCATACCTTCCCAGGATCGCTTACTACTCTCTAGATGTTGGATACTGGACCTACTTGGCTATGCAAATGAGACATTTATACACTCGCTAAACATTTTGGCCGCTTCTTCCCTGCATTTCTACATCAGTTTAAACTAGATTCTTGTAATTGAGAAAAATCTGAAGTATAGCAGCATTGTACTAGATTCTGGGTTGGAAGATGCAGTTTTTCAGCCTCTGCAGTGGAAAGCGGTATTCTGACTGCCAAAATAAATGATTCTTCAGCTCACGCCTTTCCTTGTTTTAGATTCTTTCAACTTTTGCAAGTCACAGTAACAGATGTCTCAAAGGTGATTTAACATAGGTATTAGATTCACCTATGTTAAATCACCTTTAAGACATCTGTTATCCTTAGGTATTCACCTATGTTAAATCACCTTGCAGGTAGTTCTGCTTGCTCTATACTATCACATTATCAGTAGAATTTCAAACAATGCAATACTACTATTTGTATAGAAGACTGCAACTTATGTAAAGAAAGCAGAACCAAATTCTGATTCTCCAATTGTGAAAAGTATTCATTGAGGACAGGGTGGGTTGCAAAGTAAGTAGCAGATACTGTTCTAACTAGAAAGAAGTTGTAATGTATTTTTCACCAAATCCAAACATTTGAAAGTGTATTCAACCGGCTTTTACATCACTATTCGACTGTATTTTCTTCAAAATAGGTGACAGAAGTACCTGTCTTTCATCATATTTCCTTGTATTAGATTCGCCTCCATCAAAGATTTTATTGGTACTTTGCACAGAAAATTAACTCCATCCAAGTTACTGATGAAATGACCAATGCATTTTCCATCCTATTGATGAATTGACCAGTGTATCCACCAACTTAATACGCTTATTTTTGCTACAAACAATCAAAAACTACACCGAAGGCTTCAACATTTAATCATCATTTTGACTAAAAGAAACTCATCTTCGATCCATTCTACAGCCATCTCCATCCACAAAGATGGCATCGTCCATCATAAGTTTTGACCTTTAAAAAAAAAACAAAAAATACAACCTCTCTCTCATCCATCATCTTTCTTAATTATCGTAAAAAAAATCCTTAGAAAAAAATCCAAAAAGAAAGAAAAGAAAAGGAAGAAAATAGAAACAAGAAAAGAGGTGGAAGAAATGCGGAGGAAAGTAGGGGAGAAAAAGGGATGCAAATGTGTTGTCTTGTCAATATGCGCTATAGTGGAAAAATGAAGAAATTAGACTTGAGAGGTTTTTCAATTTCTATATTCCCTTTTATTTTTATTGCTTTATCCTTCTTCCTTTTTGGTTCTTTTTGTGCATGTTTTTGTACGTGATAGCGTAGATGTTTGGTTAGTCTATTGCCAGTCAAGTTTGAAAACTCAGTGGACAAAAAAGAATAAAAGACACTATAATAACCTGTTTCATTGAAAAAAAAATAAAAGGATCATTAACAAGTTGGGCATTTTGGTCAACTAATTACAATTTCAAAATTTGCAGCTTGCTTCAATAACCGTTAGTTTTTTTTTTCCCGAACTTCAATAACCATTAGTTCAAGTCACCGAATATGTTAGAAAAAGTGGAGTGCTTATACAAATATTTGAGGGGGTAAAGTGCAGTTGTGCTAGTATTGGGGTTCTTTTGCAATTAAGTCTAAAATTGCTATACAGATAACTAATACTAATGGTAAGATGTACTTTACCCCTTCCTCAAAAAGAAAAAATGTACCCAATAAGGCCAAAGGTATGATTGACCTTATGAGATTGGGTTCCTCTGCAGTTGGCAGAGAAATTGCCCTGTAAAGTGGACGGTTGGGATTAAGGTCGGACCGATCTGATTGGATCTCAAATGTCTAGTTAAAAATGGGTAAATTATATATAATTTCCCCGTAATTTTATTTGTTGTCACTTGACCTCCTAACATTTCAAAATATCTACTTCATCCCCTATAATTTCATGTAAAGTGAAAATTTGATGAAAAATAGTTAATGTAATATTGTTAGTTGAAATATCAATAGTACCCTTATTTAAATGTTAAATCAATTGACGACTTAACTATTTTATATAAAAGTATAGAGATATTATATGAATAAATATAAAAATCACATGGGGGTAAAATGGATATTTATACAAATTATAAAAGGGTTACATGTAGATTAAGATTTTATCACACGCACTTTTAGAGTTCGTTTAATATAAACGTTGTAATTAACTGTGCATTCCGTCTATTTTTTACTTAACGTAAAATCATAGGAAGTTATATGACTATTTTAAAACTTTAAAACAATCATCTATCATTATGTGAAATTACAGAAAATTATAAATAATTTGCTCTTTAAAAGTCAATCGGTCCGGTTCGATCTCAGTCGTCCAACTTTTAAATAGACGACTTCGATCGAGCCAAACCGAAACAACCCTAATCCCAACCCTCCGCAGCCCTATGCGGTTCCTCTGCTAAGCACAGAGGAATCGGATCCTACCTTATGGTTGAGTTCCACATGCAGTAGATATGGCTGGGGTGGGGTAACCTTTTTCAACTTCCCGGAATTGCTTTTGGTATGATTACAAGGTTTTTGTTCAACCACGCAATGATATGTATTATACACGCACAAGCATGAAGGCAAGTGGGGCGGCAACTATTCCCTACACTAATCTGCTGTTCCTTGCTTGAATAATCACCATCAAAGAATGCAACCCATAGAATAGAACTATAAGTCACCTCCAACCAAAATTAATAAAAAAAAATTGAAGGGTCTAAATTCATCTCCATTGTGCTTTAGAACTTAAAGGTGTTGTAAATTTTGCATCTTCCATTATTCAAAAATTCATGAAATTGAATAAGTGATATGTAAATTTTTTGGCAAAAAAATTTATATGTGGTGCTTTTTTTTTTTAAGTAGTATCACTAAAATATTTTGCTTTAATATTTATCAAATTTGGTTTAGTAATATTTGTTTAAATTTGATTTTGATATACAAATGAACTGTATAGCTACACAAAAACCACTTTTCACTAACTTCTAACCACTCCCCCCCCCCCCCCCAAAAAAAAGGAAAAAAAAAGTCTAATCACTTACTTCAATTGACATGAACTTGTATTTTGTAATATATGTGGATTATGACCAATTCGACCAATGGAAAGCCAAATAAAAACATACACCCCTGTCACTGAGGTTATATGTGGTATGGAAGATACTAGATTTGCTACAGAATCGACACGTATATTATTGAATAGAAATATCAATCCTATATTTCTATTTTTTTTTTAAATTCTTGATTGGATGCAATTAATCTCAGTGGTATAAGAATAATTCTAGGACTGTAAGTTCTTTTTTATATGAATCCAATTACCCCACAATGATATGGTTTATTAAATAGAAGTATAACGCAACATCGTTGTTAGTAGAATATCCCACATTGATATTCCAATAATTTTCAATCATATATATAAGATGTTGAATCACTCCACTCATTGTCTATTAGTGGATGGAAGTTCAAAAGTATTTTTTATCATGGTATTAGAGCTGGCCAAGTCATGTTTCTTTATTGGTTTATGCCCATATGCCAAGTCACGTTTGCAGTGCGGAGATTCTTTCTCTACTGGTCTAAGCGTATTTGCCAAATCACATTTCTTTATTGGTTTAAGCCTATTTGCAAAGTCACGTTTGTAGTAGAATATTCCAAATTGATATTTCAAGAATTTCCAATCATATATATATAAGATGTTGAATCACCCACTCATTGCCGGTAGAATATTCCATATTGATATTTCAAGAATTTCCAACCATATACATATAAGATGTTGAATCACCCACTCATTACCGGTTTTCAGATGGAAGTTCAAGTCGTTTATCAGTCATTATAACTAATAAGTAATAGTCCAATGGTGAAGAATAAGACCCAAATTAGGCTAGCTAAACTAATTGCCAGAATAACATTTCCGAATTATTGCCCCGGATTATAAATTAGGTGTAAAATGTCATCAGTCACAAAAATTAGGATCCAACATGCAATTTAGACATTTATAGAATGATGTCATATCAAGTATTGAATTTTTTTTTGAATAGCATAAAGTTACATTTGGATCGAGGGGTTTAACGGACGGTTTGAAATCCTTTCAAATTCCTATAAGTGCTTAGATTACTTAGAAGACATTTGATTTTTAAATTACTAATTATTCTAGTGTTTAAAGTGTATTTAAATGATTTGTGAATTACAATTCCAAACGTATTTTAAACAATTCAAACAACTAAAGCGATTTGCGTAGATTTCAAACCCTTTATCAAATTCTTCAATCCAAATGAATCCAAACTTCATTTAGCAATCGTTGTCTGTCATGAAAAGCTGTTTGAATGCATAACCTGAGCGAGTCAATTATTGGAAACGGTTCAAATAGGATATTATAACCAAATAGACAGTTTTTCCTGATTTATCTGCATGCATTAATTTGTGGAGAACAAGAACCCAATTATGATTCAAATTCCTTTGTGTAAAAGGTGCTCTTATTAAGTGCCTGGTGGTTGCATGAAGTAATGGGTATTAATACTCCATACTTGAATTTGGGTCCATTGTGACATAAGAGTTAGTACACTTTTATTACACCACTCTGAATATAATCACAGTACTAAAACCACTCTACCATAAAACCCCAACAAAGAAAAATGGAAAAGAGAAGCACTAAAATAAGGCCTTTTTTTCTCGTTGGTTGCATTGGAAGGAATTACAAATCCAAGGATATTGATCAACTTAGCATCAGAAATCTTTATTCTGGGAATAATTTCTGCAAAATCTGTAATATCCCATGATTTTTTAACAATATTGTCGTACGTCAATAAAATATGGACTGGCTCCTTTTACGAAACCGATTGAAAGGTGTTGATCACTATCAGAGAACGCATCAGTACGCAGACAATGACAAAGAAAAAATAGTACTAAGTTTCAGTACAAAATTGACAATTGCAGCCTAGTTAAAACTTCTACAATTTCTTTACTTAAAGAAAATGTGTGGCTATCCTTATTCAAAACAAGAATAGCCAACATTTAGAACTCACTTGCCTCTACTTTTGAGTTGGGGCAATCCAACCTTTTCATATATATCCATCTGTCCTTATAAGGGCTCTAGAATATACAAGATCAAAAGCTTTATATGAACATATATATGAAGCCAAAACTAAGAAGAAAAATCATTCTACTAAGCCACCAAACAAAGGATATTCATTATCTTTTCTAGTGCCACAAGTTCATCTAATTCACTGAAAACTAGAAAATGAGCATTAGAAT